CTAATAGATAATCATACCTCTCTACCAGCTCTCAAAATAGACTAATATACTTTTTTATATACAATACCAAAAATAAAATAATCACGTATGAAAGTTGTATTAGTTTTTGTCTTGGTTTTTATAAATACTTTACCGTCAGTTTTCATTTGCAGGTAATCGTATTTTGTACTTTCATATGTCTTAATCTTTACTAAATTTTTCCCACACTTTTGACACGAATAAAAACACCTTTTATTTTTAGTCTTTTTTATATACGAATAAAAAATATAACCCATTTTTTTCTGTCAATATTTTACCCAAAGTTTTTTTTTTCCATGACTGTAATTAATAGTTTAAAATATTTATTGATAAGAGTAAGAGAGAGAGAGAGAGAGAGAGAGAGAGAGAGAGAGAGAGAGAGAGAGAGAGAGAGAGAGCGAGAGAGAGAGAGAGATTAATAAATACATGAATAGAGGGTAATATATGAAGGTACATTTCTCTCTCTCTCTCTCTCTCTCTCTCTCTCTGTCTCCCTAAGGTATGAATCATGTCATGCAAATTAATCTCTCCCCAGAATCACTGTTTTCGAGTTAAATGCTTTTGCCGTCATGAGTGGCTTGGCTAAATGACATCCCCCGCCCCGCCGCTATAATTCCTGTTGGTTCCCATTCTCATTCCTCGAACAGTGAGGGTGTGATGATTCCAGTTTTACAAGCACGACGTCATACATACATACATACATACATACATACATACATACATACATACATACATACATACACACACTTGTCTTGTTTACATTCCAGTTCCTTATCCTGGGAGACTGTGATGTTGTTGTTTGTCTGTTCTCTTATAAACAAAATGTCACACGCTATCAACAAAACAATTCCAGTTTGTTTTCATTCCCATTCCTAGAAATTGGAAGGAAGGTTCAGATGTTTATTCTTTTTCACTAGCTACGTCTCTCAGCTGCTCGATGAGATATAGAACATTTCTCTTTTCCTTACAGCGTAGAGCTGATACATTACGAAGAGTCTCTCCCCCCAGGTAGTGAGAAGTGTTGGGCCCAGGTAAACACAGGTGTCTTGAGGGTCGTAATGCTAAAAAAAAATCGTAAGTTAAATTCGATTATTTTCTCTTACGTGTTTAGACAGAAGCAGTAGTCCAATTTCTCAAAGGTTGTTAAGTTAAATTTTTTAGTCTTATTAACTTAGAAAATCTCTTAAGTTAATTTCTGTCATCTAAACATGGTGTAAGAGGAAGAACCAAACTACAGTAGAGTTTCAGTGCGATTCAGACGCCATATTGGATGTTGATTCTTTCTGACGAAGCTTAATTGGCCCAGTAGATGTGTTCTCTTATTCATAGTAAAGATAAATATTTTATTAAGAATCTGTTTGACACTTAAAAGCCAAGACTCACCTCCCCCCACTCCCTGTTCCGAAGATTCGCCTCCCCCCCCACTCCCTGTGCCACATTCACCTCCCCCCACTCCCTGTTCCGAAGATTCGCCTCCCCCCCCACTCCCTGTGCCACATTCACCTCCCCCCACTCCCTGTGTTGTTACATCTCTAGCTAAGGTGATGTCTTGCTGTTTCAACCTTTGAGGACCCACCTTTGTGTCGAGGTTAATTAAGCCAATCAGACACCTCCAAAAATCTCTCGTTAATGGAGAAGGATCTTTACCACACGTTCCTTTGTGACCCCAAACTCTGTGTCAAACTTAGGTCGACCAATTATTATACCTATTCTTATCTCTTATCTGGGAGAAAGATAAACATTTCCACTAATTTGAAACCATCTTGGTATCATAGCCTAATGAGCCAATCAGATTCGTCCTCGTACCCCTTAATTATTGGGAAATATTTGAGCTTACGATCCAATGAGAATCCATCTTTGCGTCGTAGTTTTTAGTGATTTAGATAGATACGTTCTCGCATCTCTAGATAGGGGAGAATGTTTTAACTTACGATACCATGAGAATCAGTCAGTAGTACACTTCTCAATACTTCCCTCTTCCTCTCTCACTCTCCCTCACTCTCTCTCCTCACTCTCCCTCACTCTCCTCACCTCCTCACTCTCTCACTCTCACTCTCAGCCTCTCACCTCACTCTCCTCACTCTCTCACTCTCTCTCACTCACACTCCTGCGCCACACACTTCTTATTCTCCAGCCCCATAAACACTCACACTCTTACCTTAAAAATAATAAGATTCTGAGGTAGTGTGTGTGTGTGTGTGTGTGTGTGTGTGTGTGTGTGTGTGTGCAGTGGATAAAATTCCGCTCTTCTTGCTCGCAGGATACGGTCTGGTATATATCGAGGGCAAATAGATCAACATATTCTCTCTCTGATCGTTATTCACCTTCCCCCCTCTTCCTGATACGCGTCCGTTTCTCTATTTTCTTTCCGACTCTCTCTCTCCTGTCATCCTCCACACTGCCATCCATCAATCCATCCGTATACTCATCCATCTTCCTCCCTCCCACCCTCCATCTCTCCTTTCCTCCCTCTTTACTTCTTTCTCTCTCTTCTCTCTTTCTTCCCCATTTACTCCCTCTCTCATTTCCTCTTTCACTCCCCCCCCACTTAGAGCTAGGGCCAACAACACACTACCGGGCGATCGTTCGTCGGGCGGAAATTCCTTTAAACGCTCTCCCGTCATTACAGGCGTTACGGCGCCTTAAAACAAAAACAAAAAACAAAAAACAAAAACCCAAAGGAGGTCTAAATGAAGGGTAGAAACGCCAGGCACTTATGATTATTTAAAGGTTCTAGGGTTGGTGGGTGGTGGGGGAGGGGGGGTACTTGAATTTCTGTGACCATGATGAATATTGCGCTACACTGATCAATATGCAGGAGCAAGGGCTGTCTTCCCCAACCTATGCATATATAGAGTTCTGACATATTTTTCTCAAGCCAACAAACACATGCGCGAAGAGAGAGAGAGAGAGAGAGAGAGAGAGAGAGAGAGAGAGAGAGAGGTGGTTCCACAAAGGCTCGTCGTAATAACAAATACGAAGGTAGAGAAATCCACAGCCACTCTTATCTAATATAGAAAGAGAAAGCAAGGCATAAACACACGCACACACACACACACACATACACACACACACACACACACACACACACACACACACACAAATATATATGACACAACAACGACCATAACTTACTAAATATATATTAAGCCACATATAAGATTGAAGTAAGTTCCACCAAAGTCATATATGTAAAGAAAATACTTACTAGTAATAAGTCATATATATAATTAGTGAAAGTGGCACCGTTACCCGTTACCTGTTATTTAATTAGCCAACCAGTCACGTAAAACCTAATTAACACATGACTATTCGTACAACACCTGAGTAGAAGTGAACAGGTGTCAATTTCAAGGAATATAAACAGTATGTAATGAAACACGAAGAGGGAATAAGAAGGAAATAAATGGTAAATAAAAGTAATGGATAAAACAAGAAGATGAATGAGGCAATGAAGAAAATAATAAGAACAGGCCATAGAATGAATGAAGATAAGTAAAGAAATAAACACAGAAAGAAAACACGCAAACACCCCCCCACACACCCCCCCACACCCCCCCACCCACACCCACACACTATAATGCTTCTCGCTAATATTAATAGTTATCTAAATTTATTCGCTCTACAAATACATAAATCCCAGTTACATTTCTACACTCGTAAATTACCCTCCCACCTCCTCCCACCTCCTCCCACTCCACTCCTCCTCATCTACTCCTCCTCATCTACCCCTCCCCACCCACCTTGTAAAAAGAAAAAACAAATAATATTTACATTAATATTTTCCTGGCAATATATTTTGTTTACCAAGGGGAAATAAATAATTGTATATGATTATTATTTTCTCGTTGTTTACAATATGACACCTGTTCCTAGCCTGACCTGTACAATACGTGTGTGTGTGCGTGCTGAAGCTCTCCCTGTCTCTCATTACCTTGTCTACCTGTCTATCAAACCTGTCTGTCTACCTGTCAAGTACCTATGTATATCTCGATCTATATATCTATCTACCTATAAATCTTTCTGTCCTTTTGAAATCCTGTCAATAGCTATTTTTCTTTATCAATTTCTTCTATAAATCAATTTTCCAAGAGACAACCATAAAGTCGTGAATAACTACAAGCGAATAACGAGATAAACAATCCTTAATGAATAATAAATAATGAATAAATTTACCATATGTATGTTAAAAATACATACATATACATCACTCATACAAGAGACATACGTGTACTGATAAACGACGTAACCTTCTGGAGCTACAACCAATCAATACAATGACCCTCTGGAGTATAGGGCGGGTGTGAGGCGGCGCAGTATGGAACACGTTACTTACATGTATTATAAGTCTCGTTGTTACACGGAGACAGACCTGTGTGCGTGACGGAATGACGAAGAGAAATATACACACATACTGACACACACACAGACATTGTTCCCCCAACCCCTTTTTGATCTTCATCGACGGGGCATGACAGCTGTATGTCTCGTGTAGTAGGGGGGTGAGGTGGTATGGAGGTGGGGTGGGGTGGGGTGGGTGGGGTGGTGTTAGGGGTGGGGTAGGTAGGGTGGGATCTCAACCTGTTTCGTGAGCTATATTAATGGGTTCTTCAACTTTTTTTTTTTTTTTTTTCATCGACTGGACTTTATAACTACAGGTTACCGAGGGGAGTGGGGGGGTAGGTTAGGAGGGGAAGAGAGGGGAGGGAAGGGAGAGGGGAGAGGAGAAGGAGGAGGAGGGGGGGAGGAGGAGGAGGGGAGGAGCGATACCATCATGTTCTCTCAGGATTTATTCTGTCAAGTACATGCAACAGGAACAAGTCAAATCAAGCACCTTCCACTGCTGAGTCATAATAATACAATGCTTATTCATTGTATCCTGGTGGCTGGGGGGAGGGAGAAGGACCATGGTGTGTGTAATGTAATGTATAATGTAATAAGTATTGTACATGCAAGAGGAGGAGGAGCAGCAGATGACTCACTTCGGCCCTGTTGTAGCCGGCGATCTTGCAGAAGGACTCGTTGCAGTAGACGATGGGGTAGTCGACGATCTGCGCATTGGCCAGCAAGAAACTGGAATC